CACCTGCAAATAGTCCTCCCGCCCTGCAGGGGGTGCCCCATGGAATAGCACTAATCACCTGCAAATAGTCCTCCCGCCCTGCAGGGGGTGCCCCATGGAATAGCACTAATCACCTGCAAATAGCCCTCCCGCCCTGCAGGGGGTGCCCCATGGAATAGCACTAATCACCTGCAAATAGTCCTCCCGCCCTGCAGGGGGTGTCCCATGGAATAGCACTAATCACCTGCAAATAGTCCTCCCGCCCTGCAGGGGGTGCCCCATTGAACAACATTCAGCCCCTGGGTAGATGGAGTTTAGTGGTTGGAGCTCAGGGTTCTTGCCAGGTGTGAACCCAGCTGGCCCCACCCAGGGCAGGATCCAGGGCTCTCTATTGCCAGGGTTGCCATATTTCCAGTTCCCAAATAGAGGACGCTGCCAGGGGAGAGGGGACCTGGGGGGTACAACTGGGGGCACTTTAGGGGTAATTTGGGGCTGCAGGAGGGGTATGTGTGTACTGGGAGGGGGTACCTGGGGGATGCTGGAGGGGATGTGTACTGGGAGGGGGTACCTGGGGGATGCTGGAGGGGGGTGTGTGTACTGGGAGGGGGTACCTGGGGGATGCTGAGGGTACCTGCGGCCTCACTCTCAGGTGGGGGGCACTGTTGCTCCCTGTCACTGTGTAGGGTGAATGGTGCAGGCCCGGGATGCAGCACCAGCCCGTCCGTCAGCGCCTCCCTATGGGTCTCTTCCCCTCTCCAGGTCACCCCTCCTGGACAGGCTCTGCGGCCTCTGGCACGATGGACCCACCTCCGGGATCCGGGGCCCCCAACATGACTGCCGCGCCTCTGGGGCCCTGGGCCCCCAACGCGACGGATGTGCCTCCAGGGCCCTGGGTCCCCAACGCGACGGACGCACCTCTGGGGCCCTGGACCCCCAACGCGACGGACGTGACGCCGGGAACCGGGGCCCCCAACACGATGGACGTGACGCCGGGAACCGGGGCCCCCAACGCGACAGACACGACGCTGGGAACCGGGGCCCCCAACACGATGGACGTGACGCCGGGAACCGGGGCCCCCAACGCGACAGACGCGACGCCGGGAACCGGGGCCCCCAACGCGACAGACGCGACGCCGGGAACCGGGGCCCCCAACGCGACAGACGCGATGCCGGGAACCGGGTCCCCCAACGCGACGGACGTGACGCCGGGAACCGGGTCCCCCAACGCGACAGACGCGACGCGGGGAACCGGGGCCCCCAACAGGACAGACGCGACCCTGGGACCCGGGGCCCCCAACGCGACGGACGCGACGCCGGGGCCCGGGGCCCCCAACGCGACGGACGCGACCCTGGGACCCGGGTCCCCCAACGCGACAGACGCGACGCGGGGAACCGGGGCCCCCAACATGACAGACGCGACCCTGGGACCCGGGGCCCCCAACGCGACGGACGCGACCCTGGGACCCGGGGCCCCCAACGCGACAGACGCGACCCTGGGACCCGGGGCCCCCAACGCGACGGACGCGACGCCGGGGCCCGGGGCCCCCAACGCGACGAGCGTGGCTCCAGCAGCCACGACCTCCCGTGCGGCGGGGATGACTTCAACGACCACAACCTCCGGCACAGCGGGCGCGGCTCCAGGACCAGCCGGGTTCCTCCTCCCAGCCTTTGCTGGCCTCCTCCTGCTGGAGCTTCTCTCTTAATTCCCCCCCGGGTGCAATGGCCACACCGCACTGAAATACACCCTGCAGCCTGCGTCAGCCCCTCTCCCCTCCAGGCGTTCTCGGCTCCTGCACGGGCTCACATCCCCTTGATTTTGTTGCACTGAATAAAACGCACTGGAAACCAAACGTGCTGGAACTTTATTTATTTATTTCAATGGAGGGAAAATGTGATTCTCGTGCGTGGGACCATCAAGAGGCCCGGTAAGAACATAAGAGCGGCCACAGCTAGTCCGGTGCCCTGTCCCCAACCCTGGCACAACCACAACTTCAGGGGAAACACAGTAATTTAGGTCAGACCCACCCCTGTCTTTCCCTCCCGGCTTCTGGCAGTCAGAGGTTTAGGGACACCCAGAGCAGGGGGTTGTGTCCCTGACCATCTTGGCTAATTGCCATGGGTGATCCTATCCTCCAGGAACAGATCTAGTTCTTTTTTGAACCCTGCTGTACTTTTGACCGCCCTCACATCCCCTGGCAATGAGTTCCACAGGTTACTTGTAAACTGTGGGGAAAAGTACATCCTCTTGTTTGTATGAAACCTGCTGCCTGTTCGTTTCATGGGGTGACCCCTGGTTCTGGTGCTGTGGGACAGGGGAAATAGCAGTTCTCTAGTCACTTTCCCCGTGCCGTGGCATGATTTTCTACCCCTCTGTCGCATCCCCCCTTAGTCGTCACTTTGCCAAGCTGAACGGCCCTAATCGTTTTAGTCTTGCCTCATATGGAAGCTGCTCCATGTCCTGAGATTAGGTGAGAAATATCCCGAGTGGGGCAGTTAGGCAGCAGAGGCCGGGAGCTACACAGCCCTGGAGAACGTCAGTTCAGCCTCCAACGGGGGTGCAAACGCTTTGGGACCGGCCGAAGGAGCCACGGTAGGAAAGAGACGTGCTGGACCCAGGGACCCAGTCTTGAAGTAGCGGAGCCGTGGGGGTCTCCCATGGCAGCCGGGGGCCTGGCTATAAGAAGGGGATGTTCCCAGAGAGCCTGCATCACGGTCAGACGCACGGGGTCACCCCAGTTCTCCGTTTCAGTCTGCCTTGTAGCAGCTCTGCGGTTAATCAGATCCTTCTGTGTGTCGTCCAGCCATCTCGCTTTGGGTCTTCCAGCCGCCTCTGACCGAAGGGTGTTAAAACACCCTGTTTTCTGGATGGTCTTCTGATGTCCCCCGGCCAAACCGGCTAAGCCTGGACTCCCTCAGCCAGAGACGACTCAGGCCTCCCCATACCGGGAGGGGGGGCACAATCTAAAGGGGAGGACGTGTGACCACCCCACATGTCTCCTCTGCCCAGTGACCCCCTGCCGCCGCCCTGAGCCCAGCCTTGGACCGCCAGGCTCTCCCTGCCCCACCAGAGAGGGGAGGGGGCTCTGTCCTTCTCCCGCTATGGGCTGCCCGGGCCTGGCTGCCAGGGGCAGGGGCAGTGGAGGAGGACAGAGCCTGCCCCACCAGGCCAAGCAGCAATTGGGGGGGGCACATGATCCCCCATGCAGCTCTTCTATATTTAGGGCCAGCCTGAGTGCAGGGGACTGGACTAGATGACCCCTCGAGGGCCCTTCCAGCCCTAGGGTTCTGAACACGGCCCTTCCTTGGCTCTCGATCCACCTCAGCGATCTGATTTCCACCCAGTCCAGGGCCTGCCCCTGTCTCTTCCTCAGTCCCCGGCTGTACAAAAAAAACCGGCCTAACCACGGCTGGTTGGGCTTTGCTTTCAGGTTCCCGGGGCATTCTCCTAGCCCAGAGCTGGACCCCTGTCTGAGCCAGCGAGCGTCTTCAGCTCCCGTGAGTGGGTGCATCGTGGCAGAGGTTTATGAGTCGGGGACTGCAGGGTTGCTCTTGAATCAGAGACCCTCTAGTTCCAGGTTGTGCTTAGGGACCCAATGGTCACAGGTTGAATTTCCTCCTCAGTAATGGCACGCCCAGGAGGCCTGCTCCCCTGAAAGAGACAGAAGCAGCCGTCTGATAAAGCACCTGCCACTCAGCCTCTGCCAGACGGGAGTGAGTTCAAATATCTGATTGTTATTGTCAGACCTAGGACCCCCACCAGTGCTAGGTGCTGTATATTGTGATTGCTATTTATTAGGTGTATTACAGTAGCACCCAGGCACCCAGTCTCGGCCCCCACTGTGCTAGGTGCTGTACATTCTCATTGCTATTTATGAGCTATCTCCAGCCCGTCATGGTGACCTTTGACCCAAACACCTCATCCGCCTCAGGGCCCCCCCTTTCCAGAATAGCGAACGGTAACCTGGGATCTCTCCTGACTGAGATAAAAAGGAGCATGACCCTTCGATGAATGGACATGTCTGTTGCAGGCCAACCCTGGCTCAGGGAGATGTTCCTGCCAGGCCTGCAGCTTTTCAGGCCAGAGTGTCGGGACCATGCCACGCGTTGTCCGGTGAAACCTCTGGCCCTGAGTGTTTCCTGGCAGGCGACAGGGTGTTGTTTGGCTTTTTGGCTATGCCAGAGAGTTTGCATAATTCAGAACTGTACCGTGGCCTTGGTCTGGTCCTTGACATGTTCCTCTACGAAGTCCACATGATCTTCTTCAGGTCCTCTTAGCGCGCGCGTAGCCGCCTTCACAGACTTGACCCACTCCTCCACCGTAGCATCTCCTGGTTTAGTCGGGAAGCCCCCGAACTGCGGGAACTTCTGCTCCCGTGGGACATAAATAACAGAGGGTTTCTTAGCTTCTGCTGCCTGCTGGTCCGTTGCTCTCTTAGCCCCTGATACATCTTCTCTCTGCTCGGTTCTAGCTTGTTGTACTTGCCTCTAGGGCTTCCAGCTTCCTAACTGCACAAAACCAAACACCCTTGCCCTGCCCCCACCCCCCTTCTCTGAGCCCCCCCCTCACTCTAATCCCCCTCCCTCTGTCACCTTCACTCACTTTCACCAGGCTGGGGCTCCAGCTGGGGGTGCAGGCTCTGGGGTGGGGCTGGGGATGAGGGGTTTGGGGTGCAGGAAGGGGCTTTGGGCTGGGGGGTGGGGCCGAGGGGTTCAGAGGGTGGGAGATATTTGGATTAAGGTTGAAAGGTATTCATTTTAAGGCCCCAAATTGTTCACATTTTCATTTGGGGGGCAGAATTTTTTCACCTGCAATTTCCCACCAAAAGTTTGATGATTTTCAGCTTTTTGATGGTTTTTGGTTTTTTACTGGAAACTGAGGTTTCCCCTGGGCTGCGGGTGGGAGTCCAGTTCTCCTCTTGCATAACATTTAGGACAGTACGCGGGAGCTGGGGGCTGATGGACAGAAGCCAAAGATGCAGAGACAAAGCTCAGATTACAACCAGCTGGAAGCCAGCGCTGCTGTCAAGGTCATTAGGCAGAGGATGGGAACGCCCGGCCTGGCAGAATCTCGGCTGCATTGCAGGGCCCTGGCTGTTCTCCATGCCCGGGTCCCCCCGTTCCGCTCTGCTTTAAACGGGGCTGCAGGTGAGTGCGATGGACCAAATGTGGGGAAAGGACCAAAACCACCCTCAGAGCTTTAGCCCTCCCCAGAGAGGCGGATTTACAGTGAAACACAGGGGGCCCTGGCACGGGGCACCCCAGCGACAGGGGGCCCCAGGGCCGCACAGCTGCGGGGGCAGAAGCTTGGTCCTGCCGGCTCCTGGGGCTCCTGCTGCATGCTCCGTGCCCTCCCGGCAGCCAGGCTCCCCCCTCCACCTGCCTCTTCCCTTGAGCAGCCGCGTTCCCTCTCCCCCCCTCCCAGCGCTTCCCCCGCCGCTGAACAGATGTTTGCCGGCAGCACCCCTACGGCCCCAGCTCACACCCCCAGCCCCCTGCCCTGACTCTTGCATCCCCTCACCCCCCCCCCAGCCCCCTGCCCTCCCTGTCTCCTGCACCCCTCCATTCCCTCCCACCCACCCGGAGCACCCAACTGGAGCTCCTGCACCCCCCCTCCACATTCCTACCTGCACCCCTTGCGCCAAATGGGAGATGCCCCAGGTACGCGCTCCACACCCCAACCCCCGGCCCCAACTCTGAGCCCCCTCCTGCATCCTAACTCCTGGGCAGACCCGGCACCCCAACCCCCTGCCTGCTCCTGCACCCTAACTCCCTCCCAGACCTTGCCCCTCTGGGCCTGAGCCCCCTCCCGCACTATAAGTCCTGGCCAGACCCCAAACCCCAATATATATATATTTTTTATAAAGCGCTCGCATCGAAAGCACTTTACAATAGTTAGCCAGCGATTCACACAATATTTGGAAAGATCATTACGTTACCCACCGAGACCCTCAGCGATTTTCAAGGGGTCTGTGGGAAAGGAGTAGACTACAAACCAGTCAAGGTATCTCACTTTATTTTCATTTACTTGCTATGACTTATAGGAGGAGGATAAAGAAAAAAAGAATGAAAAACAGGGGCGGGGGAGGGGGAGATAAGAGGGAATGTTCTTGGCTGGGTCCCAAGGAGGGGCCCCCAAAATGAAGCTGAGCACAAGGCCCCACTAACGCTAAATCCGCCACTGCAATCCCATGCCCAGCACTTCAATGTACCAGGAACTTTGCAGAGGTTATCACGAGATCTGGGGAGGGGGGGGAATATTGTCATAACGTTTACAATGAAAAGGAGAGACGGGTCCTGTGACTTTCCCGTGCAGGGAGGGAGACCAGTTGCACCATTCGACTGAGCAGGGCCAGCAAAACCCTGGCAAAATTCTGAGGGGGACACATGCCCTTCCCACCCCACATCACCTCTGGCTTCTGTCCAGCAGGGAGGGGGATTTCGGGATTTCAGCTCAAGCCCCGAGAGCCCCCGCCCTGCAAGGCTAAAGGGCTGAGCCCTGGCAGGTGCGCCCCAGCTCTTGAACGTCTGAAGAGCCTCAGATGCGGCTCCAGAGGGTCAATATGTTTGGCCGCCCCTGCAGTAGACCGTACGGCCTTATGGAACCCAGATTTCCAAGGCTCCCCCAACCCTACTCTGCTGTGCCCCGTTTCCCCATCTATAGCACCCAGGTGTCCTGGCTCCCACCCCTACTCCTCTCACCACTGGATCCCGCTTCTCCCAAGGACAGGAGCGGGACCCAAGAATCCTGCCCTTAATCTACATGGCACCAAGGACGGAACCCAGGAGTCCAGACGCCCTGTCCCTGGTGTGACCCGCTACCCCCTATTGCCACCCCAGGAGAGTTGGTATCACTCATTCCCCTAATTCGATTTCCTGGCAGGATGGAGGAGGATTTGGCAGTGTGCACAGACGCCCACAGAGTGGGCAGGGCTGATGGGGAGAACAGAAACTTACAGACTCTGCCAGGCAAACCTCCGTTAAAGTTTCGATGTTATATCACAGCACATAACTGAGCCCTTCCACAAAGAGACAGAGACAGGACAGAGCCTGGTACAGCTTGTCCACTCTGAAGAATTAGCCATCCACTTCACCCCAGGCAAACTTTACTCTAAGGAGCCTTTGGTAAGTGATACCCCTCTGGGCTGTTGGTGTGCTAACCATTAGACCCCACGCCCCTTCTACAGCCAGGGCTAGAACCTGGGTGTCCTGGCTCTCAGCCACCCTGCTTTAATCCACTAGATCCCACTCCCCTCCCATAGCCAGGGATAGAGCCCAGAAGGCCTGGGTCCCATGCCCCTTCCCTGCTCTAACCGCTAGCCCCCACTCACCTTGCAGAGCTGGAGACAGAACCCAGGAGTCCTGGCTCCCATCCCACTCCTCCACCCGATGAATGTTAATGGACATTTTGTATTGAGGACTGTTTGTAACGACAAGGTATCACTGTCAGAGTGGATGGGTTGGGGGAGTGGGGTTTCCTGGTCCTGCTGGCGGTCATGAGGGCTCTGAAGGGGAGTGCGGGACCAGAGGCAGCCTGCAAAGAACCAGCCGAGAACAAGTATCAGAGGGGCAGCCGTGTTAGTCTGTATCCACAAAAACAACGAGGAGTCTGGTGGCACCTTAAAGACTAACAGATTGATCTGGGCATAAGCTTTCGTGGGTAAAAAACCCACTTCCGAGAACTAGGTGGCTGAGTCGTCTCGTGGTACTGTAGGGAGCAGCCTGCTTTGTCTCCCTCTTGTTTGTGGTTCTTGTGGGTGGTCGTCGTAGATTCCCAGAAACAGTCACCTCGCGGACAACCTTCCAGCAGAAGCATTTGAAGTTTGTCTCTGACAGCTCTGGGAGGGTGCTGCGAACGTCCCAGCCAGGAAGGGCTCCGTGATGCGGCTACCCCAGAACTGTGGCAAACAGCTCTGAGGATCCACCTGTTTACCTGGCTCAGGCATGGGCAATCTCTCGTCTGATCTCATTTCAGCCTATCTTTGATCAATCCTCTGGCTGGAGATTTGGCTGCATCAGAGACCCCAGAGCCAATCTCCTGCTTCCCCATCACCATGGAGGCTTCTCTTGCCGCCTGCATCCTCGCTGCTCTCCTGGCTACGGGTGAGTGGGCTCTGTTCCTACAGGGGCTGATTTCCTAACGTCTCCACCCTAACAGTTCAGAGCCACCTGCCCGGTGAAACTGTTAGTTAACGTTACCCAAGAGCAGCAAGAGAATAAGGGGGGCTGTGCTGGGAGCGTCTAGGAGGAGGGGACTGGAATTCATAAACAATGAGTGAAGCAAGTGTGGAAATGGGAGGAAATATTTATTCTTTAAATCACTAGCACGATGTAGGGACTTGTTCCACTTCACAGCTGGCCAGAAACCAAGGGCATTTGTGAAAGCGGATTTTCATCACGAGTTTGTCTGAAAGGCAGCAGATCTGAATGTCAGTGACAGGAGCTCAAGATGATATAAAAGGCATTTCGAACTGATCCACAGTCAGTCGGCCGGAGCTCCTCTGGAGTCGATGAGGCCAGATCCCAGCTGGGGTCAGTTAAATTCAGGGGAAAGTGAGGGGGCAAGGAAGGGACAAATCTAGACCGGTCATGTTCTGTCTCCTTCTCCAGGGGCCTGTCTGCAGTGTGAGACTTGTGTTGGCCTAGGAAAGAGCTGCACGGGGAACCTAGAGACCTGCGCCTCTGGGCAAGACTCTTGTGGTGTCATTTTTACTGAAGCCACGCAGGGTAGGTGAAATGGCTGCTAACCGACGTGGGTCAGGGACATGGACGGTGGGCATAATAGGCCAGGGAAGGTGCAAGTCGGGCTGCTCAGGCCGGGGCTCAGGTCAGTCGGCCGGCTGGGTCAAGCCTGGGGCTCTTCTGGCAGTGGGGGGCAGGAGGAGGGGCAGGTCTGGGTTCTGGCCGGCCCGGGGCTTCTCCAGATGTGGGAGGGGAACAGAGGGGCTTAGGGCTCCAGCCAGGGGGGCGGGACCTCATGTGAGGGGCGGGGCCATGGGGCTAGGCTCCCTGAAGTGGGGGTCCACCTGCCGCCCATGGTCCGGGAACAGGATAGGGTGGCCAGGTTCCCGGTTTTCAACCGGAAAGTCAGGTCAAAAAGGGAACCCGACAGCATCCAGTCAGATCTGCTGTGAGCAGGGGAGGTGGGGGGTGCTGGGTCATCACCCCCAGAGCCGGGGCTGTCTCCTATCTTCACTGGGGGGCTGCATCTCCCAGCCCCGGCTCTGCAGGGAGGGGAAAAGCAGCGAGCAATGGGGACCCCGGGGGGGAAAGAGGAGTGGATGGGGGCGGGGCCTCAGGGGAAGAGGCGGGGCAGGGATGGGGCTGCTGGAGTGTCCGTTTTTTAAATACTACCAAGTTGGCAAACCTAGAACAGGGTGGGGGGCTAGGATTCCTGGGTTCTAGTCCCAGCTCTGGGTTGGGGACTTCAGCCCAGGTCTCTCCCCTGCTACGGATGTGCCGGACCCCCTTGCCTCCCGGGAGGGTCTCTTCATCTCCCCTGTTGAAGCCGCCCCATGTAACATGAAATAATTAAACATTCCCTGGAACCTGATTTCCCCACGTCCACATGGAGCATCCAACCCACTGGGCTCCTGGGTACACGGGGGGCAACCCCCCATTCGCCCTTGGCTGGGCTTTGTGCAAAGCCTGATCTGGTGGTCGTGCTCTGAAGGCGTCCCCTGGATCAAACCCGGAGCTAAGGGGTGAGCAGGACACATAGCATCAGTCCTCCACGTACCCCCTGGTGGAAAATTTGGCAACGAAAGGACTTTATAGGCAGGAGATTCGGGGTCCCCAGGGTTAGGCGGCAGCTGAGTGGGGAGCTGGAGGGTCTAAATGCTGGATTGAGGTGTTGATATGACCTTCTCTAGCCCTGCCAGACCTCGGGTGAGTCACTTCTTCTTCCCGTGCCTCAGTTTCCCCCAGGTAGAGGAAAGCTAATGGCACAGGCCATCGCTGTGAAGAGGGCGTCGATGGGGTGGGAGTGGAAGGGGAATAAATCTCTGTCTTCACCTTCCTTTGCAGTGGGAGTGAACACCCAGAGCATTATCAAGACGTGTGTGATATCCAGCCAATGTAAAGCTGGCCTTGTCTCGGTGAATTTCGGGAAGGGAATGACAACAAGGACGAGCATTGCCTGCTGCGTGGGAGACGACTGCAGAACAACCACCGTTACAAGTACCTCTCCCCATCTCCGCCTCTCCTCCCCCATCCCCTGCACCTCCTGCCCCACGTTACCTTCCCGGGCCTGGTGCTCCCGCCCCGCAGGGGGCGCCCCTTGGAATAACACTCAGCCTCTGGGTGGGCGGAGTTTGGTGGGCGGGGCTCTAGGCTTCCACCAGGTGTGAACCCAGCTGGCCCCACCCGGGGCGGGGTCCAGGGCTCCCTGCTGCAAACCCCTCCCCTGCCCCTGCTGCCCCCGGCTTCCTCGGAGCTACAGCGCCCCCTGGAGGGGGCCCCCGGGGCTGAGCTGTGCAGCCCCCAGCTGCTCTCCCGGCCCCGCCCCGTCCTGGGGCTCGTCCCCCGAGCTGACTGCGTTTGCTCCGCTTCTTCCCAGTGCCCCCGGCCGACACCAAACCCAATGGCCGGAGCTGCCGGGGCTGCTACTCTCTGACCTCTGAGCAATGCCGTGAAGAGACCATACAGTGCACTGGATCCGAGACCCGATGTGTCGACATCACCCAGACCCTAACAACTGGTAACTTCCGTTCATTTATTCTGGGGTTAGTTTTCCTTTGTTCACCCCCCTTCCCCAGTCGGGCAGAAGTGAGATGCTGTGTGGGGTCTGGTAAGTTACGGTATCAGCTGCAGATCTGGATACCTGGGTTCTGTTCCCAGCGCTGACTTTGGGCCAGTGTCTTCCCCTCCATGGGCCTCTGGTTTTTCTCCCATCCTTTGACTGAGCCTAGTTTAGTCTGTAAGCTTTCCATGGTAGGGACTGGCTTAGTATTGGGAGCGCTTGCTATGCCGGGTGGTGCACAGACCTTTGGCTGAGCTCGGGGTCCCCTCTTCTGCCAGATGCTAAAGGACACCTTGTGAGATACAGTCCCTGTCCCCAAAGAGCCTGTAATCTAAGGAGGCAAAAGAAGGATTGTTCTGCCCATTTTAAAGATGGGAAAACTGAGGCACTGAGCACTGCCATGATTTGTCCAAGGTCATACAGGAAGGCTGCAGCAGGACTGGGAAGGGAACCTACTTTTGCAGAGTCCCATCATGGTGCTGTAACTCACTAGAAAGCCACCCTACTCAGAGATCCCACAGCTGCCACCAGCCCCGGGCTAGTGCTTTGCTGGGGGGGGGGAGGGAGGGAGGAGGCTAATACTAGCTGGATCCAATCCGAGTGCCATTGGTGGGCTCTAGATCAGGGCTGGCTCAAGGACACACAGTGAGTCTGCATCAGAGCAGAGGCGGAGGGGGAGACCATCCAGGCCCAGACTGGAGGTGGAGATGGAGGCTGGGGGGAGTTTGGTGGGGCCCTGAGGGGGGGGGCAGTTGTGTCCTACTCCAGCTGGAGGAGTGGAGCTGCTCCCCTGACAATCGCCTGCTTTCCCCCACACACGCAGGCGAAAGACCAACACAGATGGACATAAAGGGCTGCGTTTCTGAGTCCTTCTGCGCCCAGTTACAAACGGGTTCAGGGACCATCGCAGGGATCGGGGTAGATCTAATCACAGCCAAATGCACAGTGGCCTCCGGCGCGGCGGGCGTGACTCCGAGACCAGCCGGGCTTCTCCTCCCAGCCCTCGCTGGGCTCCTCCTGCTGAAGCTTCTCTCCTGATTCTCCACCTGGTGCAAAGGCAACACTGTACTGAAATCCACCCTGCAGCCTGCGTTAGTCCCTCCCGCCCACAGCGGTTCTTGGCTCCCGGGTGGACTCACATTCCCTTGACGTTGCAGCACTGAATAAAACACACTGGAGAGCAAACTGTCTGCAATTTTATTTATTTATTTCAATGGGGAAAAATGTGATTCTCGTGGGTGGTGCTGTCAAGAAGCCCAGTAAGAACATGAGAGGCCACAGCTAGTCCAGTGTCCTGTCTCTGACGGCGGCATGCCCAGAACTTCAGGGGCAGTGCATTCAACAAGGCAAATGTGGAGAAACCCACCCCTGTCTGTCCCTTCTGGCTTCTGACCATCAGAGATTTAGGGACACCCAGAACACGGGGTGGCGTCCCTGACCATCTTGGCTGATAGCCATTGATGGCCCTATCCTCCAGGAACTGATCTAGTTCTTTTTTGAACCCCCATATACTTTTGCCCATCCCCACATCCCCTGGCAATGAGTTCCACAGGTTAACTGTACATTGTGGGGGAAAAAGTACATCCTCTTGGTTGCATGAAACCTACTGCCTGTCCATTTCATTGGATGACCCCTTGTTCTGGTGGTGTGGGACAGGGGAAATATTATTTGTCTCGTCACTTTCCCCACCCCATGGCATGATTTTCTAGCCCTCTGTGGCATCTCCCCAGAGTCGTCTCTTTGCCAGGCTGAAGAGCCCTAACCCGTTTCATTTCACCTCATATGGAAGCCCTTCCAAGCCCGAAGCTTAGGCTCAGAAAGACCCGAGTGGGGAAATCAGGCAGCAGAGGCCGGGAGCGACACAGCCCCGGAGAACGTCAGTTCAGCTTCCCGCGGGGTGCAAACGCTTTGGGACCGGCCGAAGGAGCCACGGTAGGAAAGAGACGTGCTGGAGGCAGGAACAGAGTGTTGAAGTCACGGAGTTGTGGGGCTGTCCCGTGGGATCTGGGGCAATACGAAGGGGATGTTCCCAGAGAGCCTGTATCACGGGCTCTTCCCTCCCTAATCTTCTATGACCCCGCCCTGTGGGCCAGGGACAGCACAACCAGCCGTCTCTGGGTCATGAGAGACGTTCACAGTTTGTCTCTCAGCCGTCCCAGGCCTCCCGCCGCGCCGCAATGACACCGTGGGTCAGACCCTGCTCTGGCGGGGCCCACAGGCCCTCAGGCGCTAGGGGGCAGGACCCTTCTCCCCAGCGTCGGCCCCAACGTCAGGGTCACGACCCACTCCAAGTCCGTCCTGGAAGCCCTCGTGCCTGGCGAAATCTCCCTGCGCTGGGCCCTCTGCCCAGGCCCCCCGGCTCTCCCCAGCCACTCGCCGCATGAGGCATTGGTGTCACATGGGGCTGGGCCGTGTCCTGCTGTTCGGGCTTCGCACCCGCGGCTCCCCCCTGCAGCTGGGCCTGGCTCCGCCTCGGCGCGGCTGGTCTGTGCTGCCCCAGCTCCCGGCTCCTCCTCCTCTGCCACCAGCCCAGCTCGGGCTGCTGCTCTCCCCTTAACTCTGCCCTGCCCTGGCTCGGCCAGCCCCAGCTCACACAGAGGATGGGCTCTGGGCTCCTGACTCCCGCACTGGCCTGCTGCCCTGTCAATCGGGCTGACCTGGAGTGCTGGCCTCTCCCCATTGGCCCTGGGGCCTCTCAGTCTCAGGATCCTGGTTTCTCTTTGACCCTTCCCCTTTCTTTTGGTACTGGGAGAGGGCTGACCCCCCCCACCCCCGCTGTGCCACATGTCAGTGAGGGGCCAACAGCCCCCTGGCACTTCCACGAGGAGCTGCGAGGAAATTTCCCATCACAACTTGCTTTTTTTTTTTTTTTTATGGAAAATCAGGTTTTTCAACTCAAACATTTTCACAGCAGGGACCTGCTTTCCTACAGATTTTTCCATTTTGGTCAAACGCCCCCCCCCCCCCCAGCCAATTTAAATTTTTTTCAGCAGTTTTTGGCCACATTCTCTTCATTTGACTCTTTTTGGTTTGAAATCGGTTTGGTTTTGGCAGGTCTTGGCCAAAAGCTTGTTCAGATTTCAGCCCCAAACACCACCTTTTCCACCTGTTTTTTGCTGAAAATTGTTTCTGTTTTGAGAATTTGGGCTCAAAACATTTCTGGGTTTAGGTCAAAAATTATTCACATTTAGGCCAATAGTTGTTCCCTTTGTAGCAGTTTGTAGCCAAAACTTTCCCAGGTTTTAGTGCTTTTCAACCAACATTATTTTGTATTTTCAGCTTGAACAATTTTCATTTTTGGCTGAATTTTTTTTGCCTGCAATTTCCTGCCAAAAGTTTTATGATTTAGATTTGAGGTTTTCAGGGTTATTTTTCTCCTGATGAAATCTGATGTTTCCTCTGGGTTGGTGTCAGGAATCCAGCTCCATGCTTGCATAACGTTTATGACACAGTGTAAGGGAGCTGGGGAAGATGGACAGGAGGAAGAGATGCGGAGGCTAAACTCAAATTACAACCAGCTAGAAACCAGAGCTGTTGTGGAGATCATTAGGAAGATGATGGGACCCCTTGGAATGATTTTGCTGGCATGGTAGAAACTCAGCTGCACTGCAGGGCCCTGGCTGTTCTTCATGCCCAGGTCCAGGGCCGTCCTGAGGATTTATGGGGCCCTACGCAGTATTATTAAACGGGTGCCCCTATGCCTGACAGCAGCCCGAGCTCGCAGCCCGGGGGTGGGGGTGGCAGGGGGAGGGACGAGACAGCAAAGGATAAGGAGACGCCCAGCCCTCCTCATGGTGGTGGAGAATCACAGTTCCCCGCAGAGACCCCCGGACCCTCTCCCTCACGCAGAATGGACGTGCAGAAGGTACCTAATTAAAAGTACTAAACTTGGGAATAAAAAAATGTCAGCCACAGGTTTTTTGATATGCCCTGAAATTTGTCAGACATTTATTTGCCAAAGCTCTGTGGGAAGGGCGAGTCGGCTGTCCTGCTGAACACAACCTTAAATATGATGGGACACACGAGGCAGCTCTTCTCTGGTTTACATTTTCTTAATCAGTATTTCTAAGCTGATTTTATCGTTTAAATGTACTCTTAAGCCTTCACCGTTCCAGATTACTACATGTTTAACTCACTGAAACAAAGACATTCTTTTCAATTAACCAGCCCCGGAGGGTTAGTGTCTTCGTAGCAATGCTCATTGCTTGTCGAACAAGGGAACACGCATTTACTTTGAGTGATCTCCGTAACAATAGACATGTTTATGAAATTTCACCAACTTTAAAAATATGTTTCCAAAGATTTTAGGCATAACAAAGGATGTCCAGCTATCTGGAAGGAAAGGGGTGTTATCCCTTTAAAGGCTCTCTTCAATAAGGGGTGGGGGAAGAGGGGGTGAAGGGAAAAAGGGATGGACAGAAAGGACCGGAAGACTTTGGAAGCAAGTTTTTTTTACTATAGTAATTAAAATGTGTATTTTCGATAAGGGTGGTCTTTTGAAGGATTTATTTTAAAAACTATATGTCTGAAGAACCAAGCATTTAAGGCTAAAGATGATTGTGCATCTAAAAATCTATGCAAGGATTTTTTAGAGATGTGATTTTATAATCTTCACCAACTCACTAATGAAATATTTTTAAAGCAAATTTTAAACTCAGGTCCTGTAGACTGATATGTTCTGAGTAAATATGACAGTGATGCCCAGCTGGTTTTGCCAGTAAATTCAGATACTAACCGTATATTCCTGGGGGTTGGCAAATGCCCGTGAAATGGCTTCATTCCCCCTTGAACGGCTCTTTGGCAGCGTCAGTGTTGTGCTAATAGGGCTGGCAGGCTGGAGGCTTTTTCACCTGTAAGTTACGAGATCCCCTCCCGAGGAAGACTCGCCAGGCTGCAGCCGCCAGCTGTGGGAGCCTGCGGGAAGGATCTGAACAGGGACAGGAAAGCCGGGAGGGTGAACGCTAAGACTGGTGCCCCACGCAGCTGCGTATGTTGCATTGCGTATGCGTAAGGACGGCCCTGCCCAGGTCCCTCTGTTCCGCTCTGCGTTTAAACGGGGCTTAGCCCTCCCCATGCCCACCACTTCAAGGTACCAAGAACTTTGCAACGGTTATTATGAGATCTGGCGGGGGTTGGCAATATTGTTATAACGTATAAGACGAAAAGAAGACAGGCCCTGTGACTTTCCCAAGGACACCGAGTGATGGGTGGAGCTGGGAAGAGAACCCAGGCCGTGTGCGCAAAAAATTTCTTCTGTGCAAATTTTGTGCGTGCGGTGTTTCGCCGTGTGTGCAGGGTTTAGGATCTGTGTGCGCACATACCTTAGAGGGAACAGTGGTCCTGGCTCATAGTCTGCCTTCTCTAACCTACCCCACCCTGAGCTAGGAGGGAATGCGGGAATCCTGGCAACCAGATTTAACTACTAGGCCTCACTCTCTCATCAATGGAACCCAGGAGTCCTGACCTGCAGGCTCTCTTCCTCCTGCATTAACTAGGCCCCATGTCCTATGAAACCAGGGAATCCAGATTTCCAAGGCCCCCCCCCAACCTTACTCTCCTATGCCCCACTTTCCAGTCTCTAGAACCTAGGAATCCTGGTTCCCACCCTAACTTCTCTAACCACTGGATCCTGCTTCTCATAGAATCATGGAACTGGAAGGGACCTCGGGGTCATCTAGTCCAGTCCCCTGCACTCATGGCAGGACTAAGCATTATTCCTGACAGGTGTTTGTCTAACCTGCTCTTAAAAATCCCCAATGATGGAGATTCCACAACCTCCCTGGGCAGTTTATTCCAGTGCTTAACCCCCCTGACACTTAGGAAGTTTTTCCAAATGTCCAACCTAAACCTCCCTTGCTGCCATTTAAGCTCATTGCTTCTTGTCCTGTCCTCAGAGCTTAAGAAAAACAATTTTTCTCCCTCCTCCTTGTAACAACCTTTTACGTACTTGAAAACTGTTCTCATGTTCCCTCTCAGTCTTCTCTTCTCCAGACTAAACAAACCCAGTTTTTATAATCTTCCCTCATAGGTCATGTTTTCTCGACCTTTCATCATTTGTATTACTCTTCTCTGGACTTTCTCGCATTTGTCCAGATCTTTCCTGAAATGTAACAGCCCAAGGATAGGAGCAGGACTCAACAGTCTTGCCCTTAATCTATATGGCACCGGTAGGGCCGGC